AATTGTGCAATGATTAGATAGTTAAAGGCAATCCTTATGTAATAATTATCTAATATATCTGTAATTTTAGATCAATTTAAAATGTATAAGTAGGACAAGTTAGAATTATTAAAGAGAAGATGATTCAGAGAAGTAATTAATTTAGAAGGAATGTAATGTGAAGAATTAGTATTGATGATTATGCAATTACTTATAACGTTATAATATTTAATAAACCACTTTCTTTATGTTTAATGAAATTATTCTTTTATTTATTTCTTGTAATGTTTGTATAATCTACTTATGTGTTATCTCTATCACGATTCATTAAGTCTTCATACTTAAATGAATCACCTTGTGATTCAGCTTAAAAAGGTCATGATGAATTTATAATCTTTGACGACGAATGGTAGCAACGATCAAGAATATTTCATCAAATCAACTGAAAATTTATAATATAACGAACTCAACCTCTTACCTAAAAATAAACATCCTATTTTTCAGGTAACACTATATTTTTATACTTTTTCTCTTTCTTACAATTTAACTTTCTTCAAAATCTTCAGCTCTTCTAGTAATATTTATAAATCAGATTATTTTTTTTATATCATTCTTTATAAAAATAATATCTTTATTATATTTTCTAAAACATATTAAAAATAATATAAAATGATAAAAAAAATCTTTTAATTTGAACAAAGCTATATTTTTGTATTAGAATATTTATTTAAATAAAATTGGATAAATTTATCAAATAATCAACTAAATTTAGAAACTGTAAAAGTAGTAATTTTAGTTTTTCTTAAGCAGCTCTTATTCAGATTTATTTCTTCAGATTTTATATTATACATGAAAAAATGTTACAAAAAAGTTTTAAAACTAATAATACCTTATACTATATTTGCTTATATGTGAACTTTGCAATAGAAAGGGAGGAAACTCTAAAAAAATTTTTTTTTGAGTTAATGTTAAATCTGGACTTATTTTACAAAAAAAATCATAATTAGCTTAGAAAGTAAAATTTTAATTTTTTTAGAGTTTCCTCCCTTTCTATTGCAAAGCTCCCATATTATAAAATCTAATTGGATAAATATAAATTAATTTTATTAAATTTTGCAAATTATTATTTCAATTTTATTTAATATTAACAATTATTTTTATATATTTATACTAGTAATATTTGAAGAACACATTTAAATTTTGGTCTTTTAAAGTTATTATTATCCAAAATTAAAAAATATTTGTAAATGCATCAGTATAAAATGAATGCTATTTAACTTATCTTAGAATACATAGAATTAAAAATCCTTGTAAGATACTCTTACCAAACAAGATCTGATAGAATTTATGGTTTAAAATGATATCTTATGCTAAAAACCATACCATATTGATTATCATGAAAAATATGAAAGAGAAACAAAACATTTAACAATTTCTGTAATTAAAAAAGAAAAGTTATTATAATTTATATCATTTTTATTGCATGTTATACACAAGAAATTTTCGGATTTGGATTTTTTCAGCAGCAAAATAAGCCGGTATTTCCATTTATTGAAGGTTGTCTTAAACAACTTACATTTGAAATAGGATTTTGAACTTAATTTATACTCTAACCCTAAGGATATTTATAACTCATGTTTGTTGTTTTTTATCCATTATATATTAAAACAGGAATTAAAGATATTCGTAGATATTCAGTAATTAAAGAACTTTATAATCCTTCTAATGAACTATCGAGGAAATGGTCAAAAATTAAATATGTAAAAGTAATTGATTTTAAAAGGATCGATAAAGATCGGATGGATCGCAACCCTTCAAATTGAAAATGCCGGGAAATTTGCATATATGATTTTCTCCTCACAATACTTTACAACTTTGAACCTTTGAACCTTTGAACGCGCCTTGTCACTTAATTTACATCTTTTCTGTATTTTTTTATTATTTTAAAAGTTTTAAATAAAAATACGCGTCTTGCACAAAAAATGTCATATATTTCCAGCAGAGAAATTACAGAGGTATTTAAATTGATTAATATTCAGTCTAAAGTAGACATTTAAATTACGATTTTTTCCTTTTCTTTCTAGGATGGTGTTTCGTTTTTATTTTGTGAATCTGAAGGAGCAGAAGGTGTATGGAAAGAAGTAGAAGAAATGTTAAAATTATACCCTGAATTGGTCGAATCGTATAAAAAGTTGAATAAACGAATAAAAAGTTTTTCTGTAGAAAAATTAAAAAAACCAAAAGCAATGCCTTATACTTATATATCATTGATTGAAAATTGTCTTGACGAAAACCATAGTAATTATTGCTTTATTATTTATATCAATTGAGTTTTTTCATGTCAATAAAATACTTTCTTTTTTTTTATTAAATAGATAATGCAGCACTTGACCTTTTGGAGTCGTTTCAAAGTGAATATTATTATCCTCCAAAGTATGTTTATTCTTTAAGCATTTAATATTTATATATATGTACAATAATAACAATTAAATTCTTTTCATAAAGAGATCATATAAGGAAAATGATGGATTTTATTACTGACCTAACTCTTGATAAAAACACTGGTTCCAAATCTTATAAAGTATTACAACATACTCTACATGCAACTGGATCAATTGCATTTGAAGCGATTTGGAGTTTCGAAGAAAATGATTTAGAGGATTTTTGGCCGATAGGTTATGATAATTTTTGGATGTTTATCAAAGCTAGATTTAATTCAGCAATGAATACTAAAGATGATCAGGTAAAAAAAATTCTTTTATTGTTTTCATTTATAAAGTCGACCTTTTCAATTTTTTGTCTTTTAAAAAACATCTATTCGATCCAATTCAAATTCATTAAGTCTGAGCGAATGTTAATGTTTCTTGAACAAGTCGTAAATATATTTGAGATTGACATGCAAATTAAACAAGGTATGAATAAAGATTGTGTCCCAAGTCAGATCTTAAAATGGACAATTTAATAATCTTTCCATTTCATTTGTTAGAAAACTTTTCCTCTTCTATACTTATACGAATAATTCCAAAAAGCGTTGGTAAACTACGTGGTAACCCTAAAGTTATTATCGATTCTTTATTAACTCCGTTTTATTCTGAAGAAGTGTCAATGGAGACGATTCGCCTCTCACAAAGATTATTTGATCAGGTGAAAAGAAGGGGAATTAAGAAAATAATATTATCAAGTATAATTTTTGCTGAATTGCTATTAATTAAAAAATTCATTTTATTACAGATTATTATTCTTTCATATGCAGGTTATATTTGTAATGATTCATTAACAAATGAAGTTTATTTACAAATTAATAAACTTGGTTCATCCATGATGACTCTATTTTTACAAGTATGTGTATTTAATATAATCGATATCACTTTCATATACTAATTAAATATTCCTTTTTTTGTCTTTGAAATAAATAATTAGACTTTATTATCCAATAAATTTAGATGTCAACTTCTAAACATAGCGCTTCTCGATAGTGATTTTAAGGAATTAAAGAAAAAACCCGTTATGAAAAAACTAATCAGGTCACCATTAAGCTTAGAAAAGATAGCAAAATTATATTTCTATAGCATGCCGTATTGCAGAAACTTGACTGAATCAGATGCAATATGGCGTCACATGTTTTTTTTAAATTCAATATTACAAAGTTATATAAATACAAAGACATTAAGTCAAGGAAAGATTATTTATCATGGATTTGAAGAAGAAGAAATAGAAATGATTACTGGTGATTTAATTATTACTAGAGTTAAGGAATTGAAAAAATGGATAAAGAAAAAAAAAATAGAAAAAGATCTTAAAACCCGGACAGAATTTCTCCTAGATATGATTGATACTGATGTAAAAGAAATGTCTTCTATTTTTTAGTAATAAATAGTAGCGATAAGCTGATATTTTTGCACGTGATTATTGGTTGCGAATCTCGTATGACGGAAAGTTATAGAATAATTTTTTAAGTGATGATAGTGATGATTACTGCGTAATGTTTCTCATTGTCTTTCCAATTCTGCATAAACCGACCGTATACAAAACGTAAAATATGGCAACTAATGACACGGATTCTTTTATTTCATGGAATAGTCCCATGACCACAAACCTAGGGAGTTTTTCGCTCCGGACTTTCTAACGGTTTCCGTTACCTATTAAAATATATATGATGTAATATTGGTACACTGCCAATCATTTGTGCGAGTGTGTGCAACAAAATAATTTCACACATAAATATAGGAAATTATTTCTCAAAAATAAAATTTGTTTGTTTGAAAGAGGAAAAAATTAAGACATTTACAATACATTCAATATTCATGCATTACATTATCAAAGATCAGATTTGAAAGTAAAAAGTAAATGAAATTTTTATAAATCAATCCATTTTGCTTTATTGATTTTTGATATTTTTTTGACAAAAATGAACCCATTTGACAAGATTAAAATGGATTATAATCAATTTTTACAATCTGCTTCGTACCTTGAGAGCATTTCTCAAATAATTGATGATTCGTACAGACCAAATTTTCCTCCTGATATTATAATTGAAGAGTTTGTGACAAGATTCGATAGAAAAAAAAGGATTAGCGAGAATCGAGGAAATGCATTTATTGTATATCGAAAGTATTTTTGTCGATATCTAGAAAGATCCGGAATAAAATTGGATCAAAAATTAATTGCACCTTTGGCAGGTTATTTATGGAGAACAGAATCAAAAAAAAGGAAAGAATGTTATAAGGCTTATTCCGAGAAAACAATTGTTGGGTGATGATAAAATCAATAAGCGTCAGCATCCTGATGATGACGATGTCCAACCACAAAACCATAAAAGTCGTATTTCAACCATCGAAGGTCAAAATCCTATAGACGATGTATTGTCTTCATCAAAATAAAATAATACAAGAATCAAACAAACACAATGAACCTCGAAATTGTTTCTTTAAAAGGTATTATAGATACTTCATTATTCGTAACTTTAATATTTTTTGTTTTTATATATATATAATTATCGTTTCGCTAATATTGGTTTAAGAGAAAGTAATTCAACTCAACTGCAAGCGCAGTATAGAACTAGATATGTACTATCAAAATTTTATTTTATTTTATTTTTTATTTTTAATTTTTAACTTTAATTTTAGAATATTTAATTTTTTTTTGATTAATTTATATTTTTGGAAGAAAATCTCAAACCAACCCTGGGAATCAAAAATGTTAAATAAATATTCTTTATTAGGCAGGCTAAGCAGCTTTTACTTTATTTTTTTCTACTTTTGTACCCCTTGTGGGATTTACTTTTAATTTAATAATAAACAATATAATTTTTCTCGATAATCTGTTAATAAATAAGATCGAATAAAATGTCCGTCCACATGCGTATTATCGAACTATGTTTACAAATTACAAAATCTCATCATTTAATATCGCAGAAATGTCTCAGAAATGTCACAATGAACCAATAGAGTCTCGCTTATTACTTATGGAAATTGTTTTTACATTTCATAATTCATGAACCATTAATAATTTTTCAGTCGCATTCAGTCGCAATATTTTATAGTAATTTTATTATAAAA